TTACTTTTCTGCTCCAGGAGAAACACTCATATAGTTTTAAGGCAAGAACATATCAGCAGTCAGAATTGGGTGAAACTTGTGGGTGGGTGGGGGGAGAACATCACTGATTATAGCTATAGATTGCTAAAAGAATAGGTAGCAGAAGAAAAAATTCAGGAAGAAGAAACTACCTAGAGTGTTGAGAGCCACGGCAGGGTCAAGATGGTGCCTGGCATTTTGCCAGAAGAATGGGTTCCTGCTGCCTCAGGTGCCCGCTATTTTTGAGCTCTAGTGGAGTTCCTAGAGAGTTGGGGTGGGTGGAGTTCGGTTGAGTTCAGGTTGATTGCTTCTGAGGTTCCCGAAGTTCAGGTGGAGCTCTCCGGAAGTTCCTGGAGAGTTAGCGTGGGCAGCGGGCCGGGTGAGTTCTAAAAATAAAGTTCATTGGTGCTTGAATCTTCAAGTGGCTTGTGATTTGTGCCTAGCCAGACTGCAGCACTAGGGGTCCAGGAAAAAGCAAGTGTCTGGAGCTGCATTGGCAATACAAGTCACAGTGGTCATCCTGGAGTTTGATCTGTCAAAGTTGTGTGCAGTATCTGAAAAGAAAGAAAGAAAGATGAAGAGAGAGAGAGAGAGAGAGAGAGAGAGAGAGAGAGAGAAAGAGAAATGAAAGAGAGAGGAAAGAGGAGAGGCCAGTAAGGAAGGAAGAAAGTCCTTTGGATTGAAACAAAATGCCAAACTAATACTACATGCAAAGACCTTAGGGTGAAATTTCAACACAAGAGACAAATACTAAGAACAATATAAATGTAAATGTCAATTCAAAGGATCAACCTTTTGTACTTGGACTTAAAAACCTAGGGAACTAGCATCTCATGTGTTAATTCAAAACCAAACTGCTTCATTCTCTTACACACTAAGGGGTGTAAGGTTTCTGATGCAATTTGAAGTCATCCCTCACTTTCCTTCTTAGTCAAATAAATGCTACAAATAATACTACTTATTAAACCCACTTTCTTCCCAGAATTATATACCAGAAGACCTTAGCACATTCTAGCATACCAGAATTATTTGCTATATATTCATTACAATTACTTTCTGTACTATTTTTTTTTTCAGTTATTCCACTGGAGCAAAAATATAGCTGCATTTTGATATTTTGTATACTACCCCTGAGAAACAGTTCTCTGGCTTTCTGAATACTAAATTAATTGTAAAGATAAATCTTGCCATGTGAGTTAGGACAGCACAGGTTTGTAATCTCAGGGACCTAGAAGGCTGACACAAGAGGAATTCAACTTCAAGACAGGGCAGGAAGAGTGGCACACACCTATAATCCCAGTGGCTGGGGAAGCTGAGAAAGGAGGATTGGGAGTTCTAAGCCAGCCTCAGCAAAGGTCAGTTGCTACAGAATTCAGTGAGACCCTGTCTCTAAATAAGATACAAAATAGGGCTAGATATGTGGCTCAGTGGTTGAGTACCCCTCAGTTCAATCCTGGTATGGAAAAAAAAAAGAGAGAGACAATTCAGCAACTTCATTAGATCATGTCTCAAAACAAAAACTAAAAATTTCTGGAGATATGTTTTGTAAGGTTGTCAAAAACTAAAGCCCTATGATTTCAATTTCAAATTTTAAAAATGCTAGGAAAAGTAGGGTCCATGAAGGCCATCTTTAGTAGAGTTCCTTGGAGGGGCCCTGGCAGCAAAATGCTCTGGGTGGAGTCTTTAGGAGGATCTATGCCAGTGGGTGCATATCAAGGCCCAAAGTTTGAAGGTTTAGCTTCTGGGGTCTCTTAAGCAGTCTCGCAGTGAGTGCAGTCAAGTGTGTAGTGGCAGCTGTGACCCAGACTGGGAGGCTTGCCATCTTCTCTGGCTGGACTTGATTATCTACTGCTGAGGGCCATTGTCAAGTAGGAATGACGCATCGAAATTTCCTTGCCAAGCGTACCCCATGCTGCTTAGAGGACATTCGATGGGACATTGCATGCATGCTTTAATAAGGTGACCTTGCTCAAGGACCAAGGCGGATCCAGGTTTAGAGCTGATCAGGTTTGAGGAAGTAACCGGCTCCTTGAGTTTAAGGCGTTGCCAGTTTAAGATAATGGGTTTTAGGGAAGTTGGAGGTTGAAGATTATTGCTGGGATTAGGGTGTTCCTGCTGCTTGTTCCCATTGAGTTCTTGTGAGATTAAAATGGGATTTGGAGATAGCCTCGTGGAGTAGGTGAATTGTGCAGGAGACGGCAGAACTCGATTGCCCCTGGACCTGTGTGGAGGCAGTGTGAGAGCGGGAATAAAGAACTGCTGTTTGAACCTACAAAGGTGTGTGGTGGCTCGTGATTCTGGTGCCAAGCCAAGACCTTGGCAATCTACTCTGGCTTCTTAACTCCTTTGAACCCTAAATGCCTGGTCAGACTGTGAATCTCTTTAAGCAGAAGGTTGTAGGTGGGTTTGAATATAAGATAGGCATTGGTGTCAGTTAGTCAACTGCAAGGTGACAGGGCACCCCTGAAACAGCCTTGGGGGAAACTGGTGACAGGGTAGCACAGAAGATCATTTCCCATCTGGGTTCTCAAGACTGCAGTGTATCTGCTTGGAGATGCAGTGCATATACACCAGTGCTCTGGATACCCACCTCTTCCCTGGAGACCACTAACCCAAGCTGCCAATGTGCAGAAAAAGAACAATGAGGGAGAGCCCCCTTAGATTCAGACTTGACCCACTTAGATATGGATGTGGTCTCTAACCACCCAGTGGTCTGAGCCTCCTCTTTCCCCAACATCCCCAGCAGAAGTACACTACACCCAAGAATTTCATGTTTTGGCACAATTTTATTGAGGAAGCCGAAGAAAAGTGAACAAGAATTCTGAAGCCTCCATGGTAGACTAGCAAACACAAGCTTTACTTCTAGGTGATCCCTTCCAAAACACCTCCAAACATGGTTGCAGGGGAAATCTCAATGCTTCTGGGTCCCAAAGGTTACAGACTCAAGCAACCTCAGGGAGTCTTGCACAGAGGGCCTGAATCCATTCCCAGTAGCCTTGGTTTTTCTTCTGGCTGCTGGTGGGGGCAGGGGGAAGACAGCTCTTAAAAGGGTCACCACCAGAGGTCTTGGCCTCTAGACCTCCCTCACCTGAGCATCTGGAACACAAAGGAGCCCCAGCGGGTGGTCGATGGCAGGGCATCTTCAAGACCCCTGAATTTCCTGGAGTTGCCTGCGGCTTGGAAGACACCTGGTCCAGGACAGGAGGCGCTGTGTCCTGATGCAAGGTGCCCTGTGCTCTGGGAAAGTCATTTTTCCATGACCAGTGCCAGAGAAGAGGCCCTTGGGGTATAGAATGCAGGTCACGGTGCAATTGTAGAAGGGCAGCGACTGGGACCCAGGATATATGGAGCTAAGGGTTGGAGGTCTCTGGAACCCTGTTGCCTGGTCTGCAGTATATGCCAAGCCTGTGGCACACAGCAGGGAAAAAATGCTGCTCCATGGCATTGTGGGCCTCACATCAGGTACCACCAAGTATATGGGAATCAGCAGGCAACAGATTTAGTGTTCTGAAACTTCTCTGGCCTCCAGGGAGTTTCTAACCACCTACAGGAAATCTGGGTGGTGTTTGCTTTAATCCTGAAAGGAAATTCCATTACAAAGCTCAATTAAGGAGATTAGCAACAACAAGAAAAACCAATCATCTGTTAGTCTTGGAATTGGAAGGCAGTCTTGCTTCATATAAGTCACTGAAAAATAGACATTTTTCTTCTGGCTTTAGCGGGGTTGTCAGCAAAATACCTAGAGAATCACAACATCGTGTGTTTGCAACCCTTTTCCTTCCTGAACTCTGTCTGCATGGTAGAATACTTTTGACTAGGAATACTTCCAAAGAGCAATTTAAAAATGGGAAATAAGTTTCTGGTTTCAGATCTGGTGCTTTATTTTCATTGATCTCTCACCTCAAACTCCACTCCATTCAATTTAGAACTTGAGAAACAAATTCCCAATATGATTATAAGAGGGCTGGGGCTTGTTGGAATAAATTAGGCCATAATTCCTCATGAAAGATATTTATGGCCCATTATGGAGACTTTGTAAAAAATAATTTAAAGATAACTGTCAGTATCTTATAAACACCCAATAGGATGAAGGTAGAAATCTGTAATAAAAAGGGAAGTGAAAATTCACAAATTTGTAGAATGAAAGAAAAAATCTGATCAAGCAAAAAAGCACAAGGGAAAAAAGAAAGTACATAGATAACTAAAAAACGATGGGGACATGCTAAGAGCCACAGCCAAGTAAAAATGATGCATGGAGTTTTTGGTTGAAAGGTGACACAAGCAAGCCATTGAGATGATATGATTATGTTAAGATCTGCATTCAAATGGATATTAGACCCCTGCTGTCTTCCTCGATCTGCTAGGGACTCCTGGAGAGTTCCCATTGGTTGGGGAAGTGTGGTAGGAGGGAATTCCGGAGGTGGGATTTCCTGTTGTGTGTGTATATCAGAGAGAATGCAGCATCCATCAGTCAGCTTATTTCCCGGGAGCATACAGGGCATTGGCGGGAGTTTCAAAAATAAAGTTTGTTCCTGCTTGAGTGGCTCCTGATTTTGCGCCCAGCCAGACTGCAGCAGGAACACACTATATCAAAATTTTTGGGATGAAGCAGAAACAGTGACCAGGAAGGTGTAGTAGTCAGGGTTCTCCAGAGGAACAGAATCAACAGGAAGTATGATTATAAAAAGGAGATTGATTAGATTGACTTACTTAATCAGAAGCTGGATAATCCCCAATGGCCTTCTGCAGGCTGTAGAGCTGGAGGAACCAGTAGCTGAAGCCCCCAAACAAGACTGATCAACAGTGCTCTCCTAGTCTGAACAGAATCTTCCGGAAACTCCCTGAAAAATCACTTTCAGAGCCCACTTTGGAGGAGTGAAGAAGCAAGAGTCCGATATCTTCAAGTGAAGACAGCAGCAATCAAGAAGGCGTTCTAAGTCTCCCCCGTAGCCGAAGCGGCCAGACACACAGAGCGAGAGCAGCTTGACCGAGGGCTGCCAAGCGGAGCTCAGAGAGGCGCGGCGGGGGGGATCCTACTGAGCTGGATAGAGGGTGTCCTTGGTGAGCGACCAGCTTTCAGGCATTGTGTCACCAGCCCCTAGAGCACCTCTGCAACCATGACTGGGCTGCTGAAGAGGAAGTTTGACCAACTGGAGGAGGACTCCTCCTCGTTCTGCTCCTCCACCTCCTCTGACTGCGTCTCTCCTTCCTGCTCCCCAAACTCTTCAGTCTCAGGTGAAGAGAGCCCCTGGGGTCAGATGCCCCTACCTAAATGGGACTTCTGTGGCTCCCAAAGTTTTACCCCTCGGTCCATTTTGAAGCGGGCTCCTCGAGAGCGCCCATGCCGTGTTGCCTTCACTGGCATCACTGTCTTTTACTTCCCACGGTGCCAGGGCTTCACCAGTGTGCCCAGTCGTGGTGGCTGTACTCTGGGCATGGCCCCTAGCCACAGCGCCTGCTGCCACTTCTCCTTGTGTGAGTTTACACAGGAACAAGCCAGGGCTCGGCGCGAGAAACTCCGTCTGCGTTTGAAAGAGGAGAAGCTGGAGATGCTGCGATGGAAGCTTTCAGCCTCTGGAGTACCTGAGGGAGAGGCAGACCTGCCACTTACATTGGATGCCATCAGTGATGCCTCTGTGGAAGAAGACTTGGCAGAGGCTGTGGCAGGCGGCCTGTTGGAAGAAGTGAACTTCCCACCATACCACCCAGCGCGGCGACGGCGTGCTTTGCTGCGGGCTGCGGGTGTGCGAAGGATCGACCGCGAGGAGAAGCGGGAACTGCAGGCGCTGCGCCAATCCCGTGAGGACTGTGGCTGTCGCTGCGATAGGGTCTGTGACCCTGAGACCTGCAGCTGCAGCTTGGCGGGTATCAAGTGCCAGATGGACCACACAGGGTTCCCTTGTGACTGCTGTAAGGAGGGCTGTGAGAACCCCAATGGCCGTGTGGAATTTAATGAGGCGCGTGTGCAGACCCATTTCATCCAGACACTCCAGCGCCTGCAGCTGGAGCAGGGGGCCGAGAGCCTTGGAGAGCTGGAGGCCCCTGCACAGGGCAGCCCACCCAACCAAGGCGAGCAGGACATGGTGTCCTCTTTCCTGCTGGCCAACCCTCCCAGCAAGCAGTGAGCTGGGAGACAATAGCTGCAGCAGTGACATGAAGGATTCTTCCATGACATCTTCCATATCAGACGCTAGTGAGGCCCCAGAGCAACCCACCTCCCAGGCCTGCCTGGCCTTGGCTTCCAGTCAAGCATGGATGATGACAGCCTGGAGCGGATCCTGAGTTTCAGTGACTCTGACCTTGGTGGGTGGGTGGGGGGACTGTGGGAGGCCATCCTCCCACGTGATTTGAGTTACCTCCCTGGCTGGGTGAGAGGCGCTTAGACACAGCTGTGTCAGAGCTTTCCCCACCCTTTTCCAGGTCCAAGGGCTTTTCAGTGCAGAGGCATGTCTGGCCACTGCCCTAAGACCCAATTGTCACCCCTGACCTTGTGATGCTGCCCCCTTTAATCTTCATTGGATGGAATTTTCCCCAGAATTTTTTGTTCCACAATAAAAGTCCACTCACTGACGTGTGTTCTCTCTCTCTCTCTCTCTCTCTCTCTCTCTCTCTCTCTCTCTCTCTCTCTCTCTCTCTCTCTCTCTCTCTCCCCAGTAAACCTTGCTACCACATTCGGTGGCTTGAGGCTGGAGCTGAGAGGAGGAGATGCTTCCCCCTTTCTGCGGCCTGGCCCCCTACACCCACACAGTGCTCTTCCACCTCCACAGCATGTGGCAGGAAGAGAAGACATGGCTTTCCTGGAGCTTCAAAGACCTCTTTTCAGTTTCTGTATGATATTCCTTAGCCCAAGGACAGTGAAACGGGGCTAATCAGCCTCTTCAGGCTTCTTATGCCACTCTGAGCCCTAGACCTATGGGGTGGCTAGATCCTCTGGACTGTGAAGACTGTAATTTATTTCCATAATTTATTTGGAGACTGAAGCAGCTTTAGTTGTGCCTCTTTGGTTGCTAAGTAGTGCTGGGGGCAGGGTCCCTTTTGTCCTGCATTCTGTCCTGCCTGGGCTTTGGTGTATACCAGGTGTGGATGCAAGCCCTGTGATCTCCTATTAGTTACCTGGTTCAGAGATGGCTGTGTAAGCAGGTGCTGGGCTGGCCAGTTGTGACCAAAACCCCCACCCAGCCCCTTTGCTTCCTGCCCTCCGATCAACTTTCTCTCCTTCAAAAGGCAGTGGCCTCCATTCCCAGTCCATAATGTAGGAAGGGGAGACTAGATGCTCAGAAAGGGCAAGGGATTTGCCTTTGTAAGAACATGACCCTGCAGGGCTTTGGGACACTGCACTCTATCACAGCCCATCGTGTACCCTGAGGCCATTTGCTAAGGGGTGGCCCCTAGGGCTTTTATGCCTTTTGTTTGCTGATGTTGAATTATGAATTTTGAATTTTACATTAACTTTTATATTGTCCCTCAGTGTCAGAACTATAATTTATTCATTTCTCTGTGTGTCTGTGCCAAGAAAGCTAGGCTCTGGGCCTGCCCCCTTGCCTAGGCAGCCTTGCCAGCCTGTGCTGTGGGAACACATTGTACCTGAGCGGACAGGTACCAATAAAGAGGAAGAAGAAGAAGAAGGAGAAGGAGAAGAAGAAAGTTCTAGAAGAATTGCACTTGCATCTGCGGTTGCTTCTAGTTCTTCCATCTTTTTTTTTCTATCCAGCCCACCATACTGACCCACTTTAGGGAGGGTCTCCACTTCAGTTGTGATCCACATGCCAATCATTCCTAAATACACCCTCATTGACACACCCAAAAGTCTCTTAATCATTGGCATGTCTTAATCCTATCAAGTTGAATGAATGCTAACATTAACAAAGACTGGATCAACAAGAACACCAAAACAAATCTACAACTATGACTGAGATAAAATCAGGAATCAAACATAAAGTGAGGCTGAAGATGTAACTCAGTGGTATGGAGTACTTGCAGAGAGCTCTCCCTGTGTTCAGTGTCCACCACTGCAGGAAAAAAATATCCCCATATGTGAAAGTTCTGGACATAATGACTTTATCAGTGAATTCTATCAAATATTTAGGTAAGTGATTAGAGAAACATTGCCAATTACTCTCAGTCTCATTCAAAAAATTAAAGAGGAAGGGGGGAAAATAATTGTAGAACTCTACTCCTAGTTCTACCTGCCAGTGGGTGTATAGAGAACTGTCAGAGTGTGAATTCAAGGAATATTTCAATTGTACCAATATTTCATATTTCTGCCAATAATGTATTTTGCAATTGATGCTGAAAAAGGTAAGCACAAAATAACGTATTAAATTAGGGACTGTCCTTTATCTCTGGTTCTTCCTGATTGCATTTTCACTGTTAACTTAAAAAAATAAAAGTAGAAAAGGATGGCAGAAAATTCAACTACTTCCTTAAAGGTGCATCAACATCTCTAACACATATTGAAAGACCTAAGCAACCTCATTCTACTTGGGACCTCATTTTTCTCTGAAACTTAACCCCTGACCTACTGCAGTCCTAAAGTCAGGAAAATAACACAGAAAAGCTCTGTGGAAACAGTTCTCAGAAAAGCCTCAGATGGTGATTGCCTAAGATAGGCCAAGATATGGAAATATCTGAAATTCCAGATGGCCCCCACCTGGGTGTGGTGATCAATATCTAAACTAGAAGCCCTGCAGCTTGGCAGTCTACCCCCCCTTGAAACACCCACTTAAAATGATTGGTTTAAACCAATCATTTTTAAGTGGGTCAACCCCTTGAACTAACCAATAATCCTTTCCATGTTCTTTTCTGCCACTTGATACGCTAATCATGTTTTAGAGTTGTTGTTTGATTTTCCCATGGTGTGTGATGATTTGCTAAGAGATGCTATGATGTATGTGGGGTCCCTGCCTTCCCCAAAGAATATATAAAACTGCTGCAAACCCTAGGCTCGGGCCTCTCAGCATCACCAGTTGCTGTGTGTTCATGGAGGACTGAGCTAGCTTGCAATAAACACTTCTTTGCTATTTACATTGATCTTGGTCTCTGGTGATCTTTTGGAGGTCCCAAATTCAAGCATAACAATATCTGGGTTATCAGTTTCTCTGGGAAAATACTTTGCTTACCATGTTTTGTCTTCTGGAAAACTCCTTTTGAATCTGAAAAAGTAAAATGTCTCCCTGTGGTCTATCAAAGGTGTAAAATTAGGACTTTTGGAATTCACTCTAGGAAATAGAGGGAAGGGTCCAAATGTTCAGACAACTCTGGGATTAACCTGCATGGCTGTTTGGCCCCAGAACAATTAAAGAAGTGAAATGAGTTTAACAAGACTTGTAATTAACATACATTTATGATTAACAGGCAAGTGAGAACCTTGTCTGCCCTCTGTGCAAAGGAGACCCCCAGGATCTGTACCATATCCAGCAGACACCCACAGCACAAGGCATACTGGCATCCAGGAAACCCATCCTTCCTTTCTCAACCTCCAAAACAAACACAGAAGTGAAAAAAATTTTTTTTCCATAATTTTATTATACAAGGGCCAGAAAATTTTTATGAAAATTCAAAACAGCATAAATTTCTCACATGATTACTAAACTGAGAAACTTTTTAAAAATATTAATTTATTTTTTTTCATTGTAATTAAACAGAATACCTTTATTTTATCTATTCATATATGGTGCTGAGGATAACCCCAAGGCCCCACACATGCTAGGTGGGTGCTCTACTGCTGAGCCACGACCCCAGCCCTGAGAAATACATATGTTTTAAATACCCTTTCTTTGCAGATGTTCTTCCATTGCATCGTGTTGGCAGAGAACTCATGGCTCTCAAGCCAAGGGGCGGGCAGTGAGCAGTCCAGAGCTACCATTATTCTAAACTCTCTGAGCATGGGTGGGAACCTCAGGCAGCATCCTGCAGACTAGGGTGGGGCTCTTGGCACTCACAGATTGAGACTCTGGAAAGAGCATGGGCAATCTCAAGATCCCTCAGTCCATGGGGGCAGGCTGAATGCTTGTCAGCCAGGTTTTTGAAAGGCATCCTCCTCTCCTGGGGGTACATGGGGCTATTTTGGGGTCTCAAGCATCCTTCCTGGACAAGCAGGTGGCTGTGTACCTCTTCTTGAGGTGCTGTGCAATCTGGGTTCATGGAAGGGTCAGGGCGAGATGTGAAACCCACAAGGTCTAAAAAGTATTTGACAGGTGTTGAGAGCCACAGCCAAAGGGGCCCCAGCAAACTTCCAGCTGCCAGCAAGCTTCAGACTGCCAGCTGATGATTGGTTCACAGTGGCCCCAGCAACATCTAGCTGATTG